ATGAATGAAGTGTACTAACTGCCTCAGTAAAGGTACGAGCTAGCGCTATAAAAAAAATGCAGCGCAATAACTGACTCCTAGATATAAAAAGAGCAGTGGGGCTTCCGGATCGGCCAAAGCACATCTGAACCGATATTCGGGCTATACCAGATAGTTGAGAAATCATGGGAATTCCACCATTAGGTGTATATCTGATTGTAAATCTAGAGAAAGCCTATAACCGGATCTTGCACGGCACCTTATGGGCATGCCTGCGAACACATAAAATCGATGGACAGTTCATACTGGCGACCCAACTACTAAAAGGTGATAGCAGGAGCTGCGTCAGAGTATAAATAGTGTTAAGTCGAAACCTTTCACCGCTGGTACTGGTCTCCACCAAGGTTACGCTCTGTACCCTCCATTAGTTGTGCTGTACATGTACAGTATAGTCAGGTCATGATGAGGAGTGCATTAACGTAGGACGTTTGTTTCCATCGTGACCTGGAGTTTGGGAACTACTGTAATGCATTATGACATCGCATAACAAGTTCATAATGTACAGAATCTCCGACTAAATAGAACTTCAGAGCTTTGATTCTGGACCCAGAGTTATATAGATAGATGGTACAGCGATTCATGGCTCAGAACAACATATGCGACAGATGGTAAAATCATTTATTGCCGATGCATTTTGAACAACAGGCCGTAGAACCATTAGGGCTTGACGGAGTACAAATGACGGCTCGAAGGCATTTATATTCAAGAAGTGAACAATACTACTTTCTAATTGGTTCATGCTTTACAATTAAAGCGTTGTTAAACTTACTGAACATTAACTCAAGAATGTCAACCAAAGAACAGTGTTAAGTTCAGACTGAAACAATCGAGTCTGTTATACTGATAACTAATAAATTACATAGTAATAACAACTTTACAAAGTAAAATAACTTTTGTAGCAGAGCGTTGATCATTACTACCGCCAAAGTCGTCCATCCTTGACATTTACAAATAAAAGAGGGAGGTGAAATGATTGAAGAAATTGACAAATTTAAGAATTTTTGCTGCATCATTTCCAGCGATGGCACCATCCACTTAGAGTTAAACAGGAGGAACAATCTAACCATGAATCAGTCTAATATTTTGGCCAAGAAATGAGTAAGTGAATTCGTATGGAGCTCACTTAAACTCGTGAAAGAATGTGTAAGATAAATGTGAAAACAGGATCATGGGACAAGCCAGAAAACAGTAGTCACGGTAGGATATATCGCAAGTGGCGGCATTCTAGGTATCCTAAACTGACCGCTGGTAACGAGGAAGTATCTGACCCGGAGCAACCGCACTCGGTAAAACAAAGACAAACTTAAACAAGTCACCAAAACTGGCAGCTCTGTTCTGCAAGTTTCGTTCAGTATTAAAACATAACAACCACAAGAAGACTCAAATACTCAAATTTCAAATAGCACTTCGCTATAGTCTTGACTCGAGGGAATAGGACAGGAAAGACACTACATTTAGTGACGAATAATACCACCGAGGAAATATGATGCGTTTAAAATCATGCAGCAAAATTATTCAACGTCTAGTCAGTCTGCGATCTGTATGACTGAGCACCAGTAATACCACTTTGGATCTGCTGAATTACAAGTGTCAACAGGAGTGCCAAAGATCTTAAAAATGATAACGAAACAAATAAAGAAGCAAACGACAAAGAGAATGTAAATTATAAAGAAAAGAGCAAAAATCGGTGATCGGTAATGTTACTTAAATCTAAACTCGATTTACAATGTAACAATCCACAGAAACTTGAGGTTGCGGGTAAAATGTGATTTTGAAAAACTTGTTTACAGTATACACACAACACAACAATCCTATAAACGTGAGATTTGGCTTGAGCTGAAGTATCTAGCTTTCTTCAGTCGAGTGATAAAACTAGCCTATTTCTCCACATTTATACGTAAACGTCGGAGGTCAACAGGCTAAGCGCATGATAGCAGAAAAATCAGCGAGTTTTCGTCGAAACTGCGTTAAGGACGGTTAGAAACACTATCTGAAACTTTATCTCACTTATACAGCACCGTCGTCGTACGTACAGTATATCAAATAAATTTTCAACAAACGATTCAAAGATGAGGCTAAGTGTTCTACCTGGCATTTCAGTCTGTGAGTAATGATCGATTCGGGGTAGCATCATACTGTCTACTGTAGGTAAACACTAACATTAGTAGGCAAACCGAGTCTAGTATACCTTCACAACTTCAGGGCTCGACAGAGTCCAAACATCAAACATCAAACTACAGACATCAAACTGATTTGAGAAACTGCACCATTCCAACGCTGCAAGGGCTAACCCATTGTCAGCGTTACGTAAATCATCACACAATTATGCCTTCTACACAAGAACAGCACGAGCACTAACAACAAATATAACTTAACTAAGTCTAGCGCTCTAAACGAACTCTACAAATAGAAATAAAGAATAAATTTCATACTAACTTGAAGGAGGGCAGGGCACAACCTATGACCAAACATAGGAGTCCGATGCAGCCGGAAAAAGCAAGACCGATCAAACCTTAAAACTGGCTGAATGTACGTAGTTGAGATGAACTATCGAGAATCATACTTCTGATGCTAACCATTTGGTAGGCGTTTCGAAATCACAAAACTCAATCACTACGGGTCGGCACTTCCCGACAATGTTAGCTGTACGCTCTTAATTAATTTATAGGTACCTGCAAATCAGAACCATAGACTATACTGTACCTGAGACGACGTCTTTTATGAACTGTTAAGCCCGTAGCCGAAAGCAATGTCCCACAACCCAGATCCTCCGAAAGGACCAGACGGTACTTTTGAAAAGAATCTTATTTTATGCTTTTTAGAAACAAAACGATTATCCACCTTACAGACGTGGAACTGAGGAAAATAATTGATAAACTGGCCCAGTTCGTTGCGAGAAACGGGCCGGAGTTTGAGGAGATGACGAAACAGAAGCAGAAAGGCAACGCGAGATTCGCGTTTCTGTTCGGCGGCGACAATTTTCTCTACTACCAGTACAAAGTAAACGAGGAAAAAACGAGTGAGTAAACCTTACTTCGCCTGCCTTAAGATGTTCTTACTGCAGTAGCCATCCGCTCTCTCTTCGGACCCTCTTTTTCTTAAAGCTGTATGATTCCCGTTTGCTTCTCAACTATGTACTGTTTCAAGTTTCTGTTGTGCTTGTCAAAATCAGAATTTTTTGCATATACTGTATTCATGTTTAATTGCCGTATCCATTACTTGAACGGGGTGTCCCAGAAGTGCAATGAATTTATTAGATTATAAACTCTTTGCGAATTATGTTAAGTTAGAAATACTTGTCCTGTTACGAATCCGGCTAATACCAGATGTTTGTACAGTTGTATCAGCGTTACGGTCGTCCGAATTTCACGCGCGTTGTTTGAGTGTTTTGTATCATCAGAATAATTCGTTAAACATTGTTACTATTTGGTTTGTCTTGTTACAGGTCATAATTCTGTTTCTTACCTATCAGTATTGTCGTTGTGTTCTATTCCCGGTCTGCTTTGTGTTTTTCCTTTTTCATAATGAAATTATGTTAAATTGCTCTGGCCGTTCATCATAATGTTGTTTTCATTGCAGTTTATTTGCTATTTATTTTCGTATATTGCAGTTTTTCGTGAAAAACAGAGTGCCTTGGTGTTATTCTTCATGCCTTCAGCAGTTAATTTCAAGATGAGTGCTTGTTTTGTTTTTTATAGTGTTGCCATAACTGATTGATTGACTGATGGATTACTAGAGACTCGATGACTGATTTACGGATGAATGAATTAGCTGATGAGCTAAAGAATCAGTAACAAGTTTCATACTTTCTGTTCACAGTTAGTTGTAATGTAAAATAAGACCTGGTATAACATTTGATGCTTAAATGTAAATTAAGTCTCATGACGATCGTATAATGGTGTCATTTAATGTATTAAATATCTAATATCTCGTTGAGGCTATAAATGTGGGTTCGTCCGTTGAAGTACGTTAATTCATTGAACGACAATATTTTAGTTTGCTCAGTATGACGTATCTTCCAGTTTGTGTCTACTAACTTTGGTTCATGTTTCTGTACTAGTTTCACTGGTGTTTCATTTGTTCCCTGATTCCTCTTAGTTCTTCAAAACGTTCAGGTGAATTTCTGTTTTGTGACATGTGCGTAGATTTCATCTGTTTTCCTTATCTTTTGCTGAACTATGGAATTCCTTAACGGTAACCTGTCGTTCATTCATCATTCATTCATAATGTGTTTAACAAGTTCAGAAGCGAATTCTCGGCCTATGACGATCCCCTTGCTCCTGAATATATCGAGGTT